GCCATTGTATTATAATATATTATATATTATAATATTAATTAATTAAATATAGTTATTTTTAATCAACTCTAATTAATTAAATTATATCATTTGGTAAATAATGCAATAATGGAAATATAAATTAATTTCAAATGCGGAATTGAACGTTAATATTATAAGATCATATTAGACCCCCAGGTGGGTAATCCCGGGTTAAAGGATTCTTGTAAAAAGAAAATTTCAATCTTTAAGATAATAGTTGATTTAATTACGAACAAAATTTTTCAAACATTCAAAAATTTGAATCTGTAACATTTGATGGAGAAAAAAAGTATCTTCATTTTTCCATCCGTTATGCATAATAACCTCTTAGAAAAAAATAAATAATGAATTGTAATAAAGGCTTTGTGCTTTAAAATGAATCGAGGCTAATTTTTTCCCACAAAATTATAGCAATTTAAATATCGACAATTTTTGACAGATTGAAACGTAATGTTCGATTTTGACCGTATATTATTATGAACAATATTCTATTTATTTTATTTATTAGTTTTGTTATTTTTGTCGACACAAAATATAATATATATTAGAATAAAGTTATTTGATTCAGAATAATAAATTTTCTGACTCGTGATTTTTTTCTTCCAAAGCGATTTTTTTTTAATTTTTAGGATTATTTATATTTTTTTAAGTAGGTCTAATAAAAAATGTCTTTTTATACATCAATGACTTTAACTTTTTTAATATATTATCCTATATTTTTCTATGAAAAATAAGAAAAATATGAATATAAATATACACATGTACATATATCTAGTTTGAGCCTTTCATACGATAAATCTAATAAAATATAATGATTTCTGTATATACATAATTATATATTAATATATTTATATTAATAATTATATATTAATATATTTATATTAATAATTATATATTAATATATTTATATTAATAATTATATATTAATATATTTGTAAAGAATAAAAAAGAAGTACATTAATTAGGGCATAAAAAGATACTATTTAAAAAAATGTCAATGTTCTTGGAAAAATTACCTGAAGAAAAAAAAAATCGCAAATTAAAATATTCATCGTTGCAAATCAAATAACTTGACATATATTTTTGCCAAAATTGACAAAAATAACGAAAATATTACGATCTGCTTAATATGTTTTCAAGTAATATCATATGAGCACATTTTCACAATATAAATGTAGTAAGAATATAATTTTTATGATTGTATTCGTATTTATATTAGTAGGATTTATACAGGGTGGGTGAAAAATCGTAGTACAACCGGCCAGCGGGTAATTCTACATAAAAAAATAAGGAAAAAATGTGGTATACAATTTTTTCATCCAAGGCTTCGTTCTCGAAAAAATCATATTTGAAGTTTGCTCAATTATGCAATGCAATTTCCTTATCGTGTATTCCACCATCTTTTGTCTCTGCTCGTGCTAGTATTTGAAAAACTAAAAAATAATAATAGTTCAGTCATTTTTAATTTGTCGAGCACAATTATGTACGGAGCAACGAGGATAACATTTCCAATAGTACTTGTAAAGTAACTTGTAAAGTAAAATGAAAGTAATTAACTCCAAATTCGATTTTCTCGAAAACGAAGCCTCGGATAAAAAAATTGTATACCATATTTTTTCCTTATTTTTTTACGTAGAATTACCCCCTGATCGGTTGTACGATTTTTCACCCACCCTGTATATATTACTGGGATTAGATATAAAAAATTTATTCATGAATGCATAGAAAAGCTACTTTTTTTCCGATTAATCTAATAACGTTCCTTTTTTTTTATAAAAACTATGTATTATTATACACATATAGAATGTCCGATTTAAACGTACAAGAAAAAAAATTTTTTTCTTTGATTAAAGAAATTTAATAAAATACATCTGATTATCCAGAATGCCTGACTGACATTTGCACAAATTATTCGGCAACAGGAGCGAATCATATTTATGAAAAGAAAATTAGATTAATATCATACATATATTTTATATGTTTTATATATTTTATATTTTTTATATATTTTATGTTTTATATATTTTATTTTCTTTAAACTATTTTTCTTGTTTTTATCACTTCATAGGCATACTCCAGTTATATCCATTAATACCTCGTTCCCAAGCGATAAACATGATTAACATAATGTTAATAAATATTTAACAGTTATCGCAATAACATGTTTATAGATTCTCGATTCTTCTGCTGTTTCTTGAAATGAAGTCTATTCAATAGACATAACTAAATATTTAATATTTAAAAATAAAAATCATTTCAAGATCATATTGTTATGCATGTATTTTTTTGTTTACTGCACGATGTAATAACAAAATTATATGAAATTATAGATAAAAAAAAATATCGATGATTTTGAAAACTTGGGAAAAAAGTATTTTTTTCCGATATTGGTCTTTTGATAATCACGTTACACATCTGAATTAATTTTTTCATGAGTTATGTGATGCAATAGAAAAAAATACATGCGTAGTCATTTAAGAAAAAAAATATCGATGACCTTGAAAACTTCGGAAGAAAAACAACCTTTGAAAAATGGCTGCAAGGCATTGGCCACTTAATATCATTCAATATATAAAATATTTTCTGCGTTCTTACATTTAAAATGATATTTAAGAGTCATATTTAAATAACATTTTATATACATATGTTATATTCAGTTACTCACTCGAACACTAAATATTTAAATTGTTAAAATTTCTCAAAACAAAATCATACAACGATAAATCTGAATTCATTTAAAGTTTGAAGCCTCTACTTTCAAAACGCGCCATTCATTTTATTCTAATATGTTTTTACATTATGTAGTGCGTAAAAAAGTGAAGATATTTTTCTTGCTACAAAATGCTATAAATTGTTATGGTACATAGAAACATTGAACAATTTTTTTCACGATTAAGTAAATTTGAAAATTGAAGTCTTCTATATACAACGTTCTCTCAAAACTTATTGCATGATTTTTTTTATCAACTTATTAAACTTTGAATTCGAGACGAAAATGAACAACGAAAATGTTACGATTTCAATCTTCAAATCTATTGCAGATTCAGTCATAATTTGATCATATTCTTCAATGTTTTTACATTCTGTGACAATTTATAGCATTTTCGAGAAGAAGTGTTTTCTTTTTTTTACCTCTTGTATAACATGATATAAAAACAATTTAAAATATAATGAATGGTAGGTTTTAAAAGTAGAGGTTTCAAGCTTTGAAATGAATCCAGATTTATTGTACAATTTTGTTTTACGAAAGTGTAACAATTTCAATATTTAGTATCCGAATATTAACGTGAATTACTGTGTATGTATGTATGTATGTATGTATGTATGTATATGTGTATATATACAATACTTATAATATATATTAAAAGTTCAATTCCTAAATAATTGAAATGATACAAATTTCGCATGTATTATTAAAGTTACTAATAAAGAATTTCTATAGAATTTCTAGAATTTCTAAAGAATTTCAGCAAATGGCCCGTTCTCCGATTCTGATATGTAATTCGATTCGTTTCGTCAAATATATTAACTTTTTTCTCCATTATTTTTTACAGAAACTTTTTGTTTTCTTCTAAATTGAATTCTAAATATGTATTTTAAATAGTAAAGGTAAAGTTACATACATAATTTTATAACTAAAAACAACAAGCGGCTATTATTAGTTTTGAGTATAGAATATAGTCGACTAATGTGCAGAAACCAGTAAATTTACAAATAAATGTTAAAAGTATTTGGGTGTTGGATGGCTACCGGCTAAGATTCTCTAGTCCTAATCCAAAACTATAAAGCACAGCGTACCGAAGAGGGAACTGCTTCCTTTGTCCTTCTATCATCCCGCACTTTCCAACAATGCACAGTATAATACTGGAAGTTTGCAGTCAATTCAAAGGAATATTAAGAATTTTCGCAAAAAATGGTAAAAAGAAAAGTTAATGTTCTCGACAAGACGAGTTGAGTAACGTAGCATTTGCTACGATCGCGAGGAATAAACATCTTAATAAATATTAATTATTATTATTATAAAAACAAAACATTAATTTTTGATCATGATTATTTTTTAATAAAATTATTATCAATGTTTAGATAATTATATTTATAAAAATTAAGTTATATATATATATCGATACAGTAAATAAATCTATTAAATTTATTTCAAAATAGAACAAACTTCAAAGCAGAATTTCAAATATTGAAAATATAAACATATAAATAAAATAAACATATTTTTGTAAATATATCATGCATTATGCTATTTCTTTGAAATTGTTTTAATACATTACAATAACAGTGTCGAATTCGTAAAATGTATAAATTAAAAATGTAAAATGAAACATTAATAATGTTGTAACAAACACGAATATAAATTATTTTATAACATTCCATACAGAATATTGGAAATAAAGTAACCTTCCAAAAGTATTTTTAATTTACTTATTGAGGATTGTAAAATTTGTTACATGTAATAAATAGTATTGTTAAATTTTATGTATCATAAAAGTTATTTAACAGTATATTAACACAACATACTAAATTTAGAATATTAAAAAGTAGAAGGCAGTATGCGATATATATTTTTCGTATTACACAACTTTATAGTGTAAAATAATTATGTTCTCTTTTTTAAAAAAGTTTTTACTATATATACTGTTTGCTTTGTATAAATAAAATGGAAGTCAAAGGTTATTAGCCTTAAGAACTGAAACTTGCTTTCTGATTGGTTAAACTGAAGGGTGTGTGTGGTCGTGCCTCCCATCTTGAATTTTTTGCGTATAAGTAGGCCAAAATCATTTACTTAGTCACTATTAATAAACTCCTATTTTCTCATATGTTATGGTATAAATAAATAAATAGAAATTAATTATCAAAATATTACCAAGATCGACGAGAATTCTTGTGACGTATGAAGGTAAAGTTTATTGCAGAAATTTCACAAGACAACACAATTGTAAATCTTCAAAAATATCTCAATCCTTACACACCTTTCGTTACACTATCGTCACTGCGACTTAGTACGTAACGTAGCGTACTATTCACTTTGCTTTCAACTCCCTCTCTTGCATTCACAACTGCACCAAACAACCAAGTTGCCAACTTGTTGGCTAAACTAAACTATAAACGTACTGAATACTTCACAGCTTGTATTTAACATATTTAAGTTCTTAGATACTCATATAAACTACTATACAATGAATGGCGGTAACCAAAATATAATACAAAAAAGGATTTGCTTTAGCGCATGGATTAACGCATGCGTAATTACTATTTAGTTTTTAAATTTGTAACAATTTAACAATATCTGTTGATATGTATAAAAATACTATTATAATATTATAACACATGTATTTGCTTAATTTAATAAATTATACGTCTATTGATACAATTTCATCTTTTATATAAATAACAATAAAACTAAAATACGTGTATGTATATTCGCGTCCATATACAGATTATTGTATATATTTATATTGTATTTTTATTTACATATTTTTAGCTAAATAGCATCTTGATTTTTATTTTTAACAATCGTACATTTTATTTTTTGCTAAAATAATTGGTAATACTCAATAATATTGTTTTTATATATAATTTTTAATACTTAATAAATATGACTATTAATGAGTTTATGTTATACAATGGAGCATGCGTTAATGTTAACCAGAATAATACATAAGATTGGTAAGACTGAATGATAAAATCTTATGATTTATCTTTCAAGATAAGTTTCCAAAGTTATATGTTTCCAAAATTATTAAACATATAGATACATATTGTATATATTAATATCATTTTATTAAAATTTAAAGTTTTTAAATTTCTATTTTAATTTTTTACAACAATCTATAAAAATTATAATCATTGTATTATATACCAATTTTATTAATTTTGTATTACCACACATAATTTTAGCATTATCTAGCAAACAAATACATATCACGTGGAAATAATTATATGAAAGAATGGATCCAATAAGATTTGGATTATTAACAGGTAGCTATTACTGGTAGAATTTTATTACAAAGTTATTTTACAATTATTTAAAATTTTAATTATAAATTATGTTTTTATTTTGTTTTAATAATATATTCTAAAGTAATTTTTAATAAGTGTTCTGTAATTTTTATCATTGTTACAAAATAGTAAGGTCATGCTACATGTTTTTATCAAATAACAATTAATTTTGTGATTATATTTTATTTTCAATAATAAAATTTATAAATTTTATCATTAGTTAGTGATAGCTGTTACAAAAATGAAGATAAAGATAAAAGTGGTCCCGAAATAGAGCAATATATTAAGGATGAAAACTCTAACATTGGAAAGATTTTAAAAGGTCAAATACATCATAAAAGTATCATTCCTGATGAAGAATTTATGATAAAAGTAACTTCTTTTATGTATAATTTATAGTTAAGTAACTATTTAATGCAAAATTTTATAATTACACAGCCATATTATATATTATATATATATTCATATATTATACAGGATTTTTTAATTTCTTGGAGTGATAGTAGAAAATTGGATGTAATTCTGACAATTGGTGGCACAGGATTTTCTAGAAGGGATGTAACTCCAGAAGCAACGAAACAAGTTATTCAAAAAGAAGCATCTGGAATAGTTGCAGCTATGCTAATGTCTAATTTAAAAATTACTCCAATGGCTATGTTATCTAGGTAAAATTATTATCTTTATTTATCTTGCTTTCATATTTTATATTAGGTACAGTGACTCATTAAAAGATTATAGGAAATTTGTTATTTGGAATAAAATTTTTGTCTTACATATTATAAAAGACAGATATGACTTTAATCTTATAATAAATATTATTATTATTTTTGATTTCTAATATTTTAATTGAAAAAATGTTTAGAGAAGTTTATTAACTTGCTTGTTTATGTAACAAATACTTTTAATTTATTTCTATTTCTAACTTTTTTTTATTTACAAATATTACTCCATTGTTAAATATTTTTAAATTTTATTTACATTTTTTTTAACTTTTAAATATATACTTTAAATGTATGTTATGAAGAGCTGTATGTGGAATACGAGATAAAACATTGATTATAAATTTACCGGGATCACCGAAAGCTGCAAAAGAATGTTTAGATGCAATTGCACTTGTTATACCGCATGCTGTTGATTTAATAAGAGATAATAAAGACAAGATAAAAGATACACATGGAACTATGCAAAATATTCCAGAAATTTCTTTATCAGAAGGGCAAGGTAAAATATCGGTAAGGCCTTATTCTTATTAAATGAATAACTATTCATATATATATAAAAAAAAAAAAAAAATATAGAAAAATTGTTCCTATATATATTCTATATATATTTTTACTTGTAGCTTTTTTGCAGATGTTAGATAAAATGTATGCTTATAATATGATAGTTTTTAAGATGAATTTAAAATCAGAGAATTGTAAAAAACTGAAAGGAATTTTGTTATTTATTTTATGGAAGCTATACTTTTAAAAAACACAAATGATTAATTTAGATAAAATTTGGTAGGTGATGAAAGATGATGGATCTAAAATATAAAATTTCAGTTTTAATAAGTACATTTGATAAAATGAAATTTCCATGTGTAATAAAACTTCACTGCTGTTAGAACTTGTCAATTAAGAGATATGTGCATATGTAGTAAGCTTAAAGATTGATAATGCTCAATGAATGAAATGAACAATCAGCTAAGATTACTGGATTTCATATTTCTGATTCATTATCTCTTCTCATGATACTCACTAAATTTGATCTAGATTGACTATTATATATGACCATAAGTTTGTGTAAAAAGAAATATATATATTAGCTGAACATGACTGTATATATATCTTCTTTTACAGTCATGTTTGGCTAATATAGTTGAACGCAACAGAGAATCTCCATATCCAATGATTTCTGTAGAAGAAGCTTTACAGTTAATATGTAAATGTACAGAACCATTAAATTTTAATGATAAATTAGAAGAAGATCTAGAAAGATGCCATGGCAGGATATTGGATGGTGATCTATATTCTAAGTATGATTTACCGCCATTTAGAGCATCTATTAAAGATGGTTATGCTGTCTTAGCAAATGATGGAAAAGGCAAAAGAAAAGTATTAAGTGGAATAAAAGCAGGAGGCACTGTAAGTGATATCTTAATAGCATTTTAATGTAAGCGATACAAGATTTCAGTATCATGAATTTGTAGGCCACTGCAATTAAACTTGTACATGGTACATGTGTAAGAGTAAATACAGGTGCTCCAATTCCAGATGGTACGTTCAGTATGTTTCTCTAAAATATTTTTAATCATTTTCTTATTATTTTTAATTTAAAGATGCAACAGCAGTTGTTCAAGTTGAAGATACTAAACTTATAAAAGGAACTTCAGATAATATGGAAGAAAAGGAAATTGAAATTATGACAAAAGTACAATTAGGACAAGACATTAGGTACTTTGCGTTGATAATTAGCTTTAACTGTACTACATTAATAATTTTAATTGATAGTTGCTAATGTTAGTTAATGTAATAGTTATTTTTTCTTTTATTTAAGACCAATTGGTTCTGATATTAAAAAAGGAGAATTAATTTTAAAGTCAGGGACAAAACTTGGTGCAATAGAATTAGGTCTTGCTGCTGCATGTGGTTACAAAAAATTATTTGTCACTGATCTTCCAAAAATTGGTGTATTATCTACAGGAGATGAGTTACAATGTCCTGGAACTGCTTTAATGCCAGGGCATATATATGATAGCAATAAAATTACATTATTGTCGATATTAAAAGAAAATGGCTTTGATCCCTTAGACATGGGAATTGCATTGGATGAGTAAGTCTTCTTTTGTATATTATTTTATGTATTTAAAACATGTTATTTAAATTTGATTGTCATATGTTATGTAGTGAAAATATTATGGTACACAAGATTAAACATGCTTTACAACAAGTTGATGTACTCATAACATCAGGTTCTGTATCAATGGGTGATAGAGATATGTTGAAGCCTATTTTGCAATATTATTTTAACGCTACTATACATTTTGGTAATATGATCATTTAATAATATAATTGTGATTGTAATAATAATTGTGATTTTAATAAATGTTTAAACATTCAAATTTCAGGCCGTATAAACATGAAGCCTGGCAAACCAACTACTTTTGCAACATGTTTCTTTCAGAATAAGAAGAAATATTTATTGTGTTTACCGGGTAATCCAGTTTCTGCGACTGTTACTATGAATTTATTTGCATTGCCTTTACTAAAACAACTGTGCAAAGACACTTCCATCCCTATAATTGTGTTGGCAAAAGTATGTAATATATTTATTTTAAACTATTCATTTATGTAGTACTTAATATGTATTTTGATGATAGTTAATGTCGTCTTATAATTTGGATCCACGTCCTGAATATGCAAGAGCGATTTTAAAATGGAATGGTACGGATACTTTACCACTAGCTTATAGTACTGGAAATCAAATCAGTAGTAAATTACTTAGTTGCAAAAATGCAAATGCATTATTAATGTTACCTGGACGTAAAGCAGAAAAAACTGTATTGCAACAAGGAGAGATAGTACAAGCAATGTTGTTGGAATTTACGCAATAAATGTAATTTAGTAAAAGAAAATATCAAATAAAATATTTAACGGATTAATCTGTACATAATTTAGAAATATAAATTCTTGTTTGTTAAAAAAAAAGTATATTTTTGAGAACTTATATTTGTATGTATTTATATAATATTCATTATAATTGTATATTTCTACAATAAAATATTTTTCAAATGACAAAATTTTCTACAGATAAATTTATATGAAGTCAAAATTTGTTAATGCTATAAATCACAACAAATTTTAACTTATGTTAATGCCATAAAAATTATAAATCAGTTTGAAGATTTATGTCAAATTGATACATTATATGTATTTGTATATATGGAAATATTTCCTTGTTTATTTATTTTTATTTGTTTTATTCTTTTATTTTCTTTACATGTTAATCTTAATTTATGAACAAAAGATGAGAAAAATCTTTACTACTGTGATAATGGTGAAGTGATTCCATCTAGTGGAGATGCGAAGGAAAGCATAGAACAGAGAATCTGCTATTTGGTAAATGTATAAGAGGAAGAGTGGGGGGGGCCGCGCGAGGAAGAAAATGGCCGACAAGGCAACGGTAAAAGGGCAGGGACGTCGAGCGAGATACGTGTTTCGGGAGAGAGAAATGCGAAATCCGTGTTAGATCTCGTGAAACCAGACGGGAAGTATTAATAAAACTTCGCGTTATTGCTTTCCTTGGTGGTGTGTTCAAGTAAAATATTATCAGACTAGTCTATTGCATTAGTATATTAATTTATTGTTTAAAAAAGCGTTCGCGGGCCGTGCGTAAGAATAAAAGGGCTCGCTAAGAGGTAAACATAAATTATACGTCAGTTCGCATTTACTTTTTACTGTCTGATTACATTTGTATTGCAAGTACGTAAGTGATTTCGTTGAAAAATATATACTAGAGGCATTTATAATAATACATGAACCTAGCAAAATTTCGTACGTGACAAATTCATCGATCAGTAGAGTAGGTTTATGTTAGCCACTTGTGGCCATCTATGGATACATTTAAAAGGTATCCTGTTGTCCTTGTCCTTTTAATTTCTCTATCTTCACGATTAATGTAGATTTTGCATTTTTTTTTTTTTTTTTGTAAATCTTGCGTATTTCCTTTGGAAAATATAAAAAGATCATAGTGAAAAATTGTGAACAACAAATTTATATATATCTCTCTCTGATGTATGTTGTATGATGGAAGCAATGAAATTCAAAGGGATCGATTTGTCAACAAGTCGATGAAAGTTCGCGCACCCGACAGTCTTGATCGTAATTCTTTTTTATTTTGTCATTATCGTAAAATTTGAATATCTTGATACAATATTAAGAAGTTCTATTTTGTTTCTCTTGTACTTTAAGTGTAAACACGTTTCGTTTCAAGTAACACTAAAAAGTACTAGTGTCAGTTCGTCGTCATCTTGAGATTCGCATAGAAAAAAGAAAAGAGAATCGAACTTTTTTTCTTGCGTTTTACAAGTTTATTCAACGCGTAAAAAAGCAAGTTTCTTTTAAAAATATTAAAAATATATAAAAATTAAAAATTTGTAGAACAGTTTAATTAATTTGCTATTATATTTCACGTTATTTCTCTATAATGTAAAAAAGTGTTAATTTAAGTATGAATTTTCATACATTTGTTTTATTTTTTCAGATATAGTCAGATCGAAAAAAGTTACAATATTTATATTCTACAATGGCAGTTAGGTAGTTTTAATGGTTTGCTCAGTGCTTTTTGAAATATTGAGCATATTCCCATCAAATTGAAAATGTAAAAGAAACAATCGTAATGAAGCCACAGAAAAAGGCAGCAGTTGCCCGTAAGGCAACAAAAATGCCAACAATTGCTAAAAAACGTCGCTCATTTTTAGAAAAATCTATATCTGATATAAAAAAAGAGAAAAAGCCTAAGAAGCTTGAAAGAGGAGAGGATGCAAAAAAGAGAATAGAAAGTGATAAGAAAAAATCAGAGAAAACCGACGAGAAAAAGAAGATAGAAGATAAGAAAAAGATTGAAGAGAAGCGAAAAGAAAAAGTGGATGAAAAAAAGAAGTGCATGAAAGACCACGAAAAGAAATGGGAAAAAGTTGAAGAAAAGAAATTAGATAAAACGGATGAAAAGATCTTGGATGAATATACCTGTGACAGTTCAGAGAAAAAGAAAGTACAAAAAATAGAAGAGAAGGCAAAAGTGGAAAAACAACTTATGGAAAATAAGAAGAGACCTGAGAAAATAGAAGACAAAAAGAAAGGTGGTAAATTTGATGATGAAAATGTAGAAGAGCAAACAAAACTTTTAAATGTTACAGAAGAAAATGATTTGCACGAAGAGAAATTAGATATCCTTTGTACAATTGCTAAGAAAAAAAGTAAAGATGAGAAAAAGAAAGATTCAAAATTATTGAAGTCTGACATAAAAGAAAATATGAAAATATCTGTGATAAAAGACAAAAAGTTAGAACGCAAGAAATTTCTAGAGAAAGGTACAATAAATACTAAAACTTCTTTGGGACGAACTAAAAAGGATTCTAAGACAAAGTCAATGCAAAAAAAAGGTATTTCTAGAAAGACTGTATTAGCAAAAAAATCACATTTATCAGTAGTTCAGAAATTGGTTGATAAAAAAATTAAACTAAACAAGTTTGTAAAAGATGAAGAAACATCTGTAAGTGAAGAAGATGAAGCAATGAAAAGAACAAAAAGGAAAAATATTAATATTCCTAAAAACAAAATTATGCAAGAGAAAAAACCAAAGTTAGGAAAACATATGAAAGCTAAGTTGTCTTCGAAAACTAATAAAATAAATACTGCTTTAAAAAAGGATGATAAATTAAAAACACTTGTGGAAAAAGTTATATCTAAAAAAAAGTTAGATACAAAAGAAACAGAAAAATCATTGAATGAACATAAGAAGACTATAAATAAAGATGAATTAAATGAAGAAGCAAATACAACTAACATAAAAAGCGAATTAGTAGAAGACAAAGATATTGATAAAAATAATAAAGAAGAGCAATCACAGTCAAAATCACAAGATACTAAAAAAGTTGTTAAATGTGCTTCAAAAATAGGGAAAAAAATAATGAAAAAGAAAGTTGTAAAAGTGCGAATAGAGAGCACTAACCAAATATTTTCTTCTTCTGAAGAAACATCTTCTGAGGAATCTGGTAAACAAATGAGAGTTTGTGAAGATAATTCAAATGATAATGCTTTTTCTAAACAAGAACAAATTGGTAGTGAAAATATAGTTGACACAAATTTGAAAGATGAACCAATTAATGGAGATAATATGAATGGCAATTCGTTATTATCAGAATCAGAAAATGAAGATGATGATGAGACAAAAAGGAGTAAACAGAAGGAAATTAAGAAAAAAGAAAGAGCTGATTCACCATCTGATGAACGTGTTAGAAGAATGAGGTTGTTTGGTTTTTGGAGTGGCCCAAAGCGATATAGAGTTGCTTCCTTGAATGCATTGGCTAAAGTTCATTGTTTATATGAAAATGAAACTGGAGGAGTTTATCTTGGTGGGTTTTGTAAACCAAAGCCTGAAAAAGAAAAGCAAAAGAAAACTAAAGAAGAGAAAGAAGAACAGATTCGCAAAGAAAGAGAAAAAAAGATAGAAACTAAAATAGAAGAAAATATTCCAAAAAGAAAACTTAGAAATGTGCCAGGATTACGTGGAAAACATTGGGATATGTTAGAAAGTTCTTCATCTTCATCTTCTTCTGATGATGAGGGCGAACGTGACAAAAATATTGAGCACAACAAGAAAAAAATAATTAAACGGAGAAAGAAAAATGAAGAAGTGATGGATTTAAAAGATATGGTTGTTTGTAAAAGAATGGCAAGCCTTAATGCTACAGCTATTCTAGCTGCTTCATATTCAGACGAAAAAAATCGTTGTGGTAGTAGTTCTGATTCTTCCAGTGAATCAGAAGTAGAAATTATTAAAAAACGCAAACAAAATGATTCTGATATCGAGAAACGAAAATCGAGACAAAATCCAGAACAAGATGAAGTTTTAAAACCGTCTAATAAACTTGTTATTGTAAATCAAGATACAGATGTTACAATTACTGGTAGTGAATTAAATCTTCTTAAATTTACCTTTTGTGTATATTTACTGTTCACTAGAATGACATTTTTATTTTAAGGTGTTTATGTTAACCAAACTCGATCTACGCATCATGAAGGTTATTGTAGTATTGCTGGCATGCAGTATAGAATAAGTTCAACAAGCCATACTCAAACTGCAGCAACTGCAGTTGCTACTGAGCTTCATGACCAGGTTAGTGTTGTTATATATTTAAAAAATTTTTTTATTTCTGAATGCAATTTTCAAAAATACATCATTAGAAACATGTATTCATTAGAAATAATTAAAAAAAATATTAATATAAAAATTGTTAAGCTTGTAAAAATTGTTATTTTTGCAATAGCAAAAATTGGAGCAACCTTGCAAATCATATACACCATTGGGAGCACTATCTTCTATGCAGCCACCAGGGAGTCAAAGCAATCATCCAAACATGTCACCTCGAAGACATTCTGCATTTTCAGCACCACATCAACATGGTAAACTATCTACAAATGTTATAAATATTTATATAAATATTTATACAAATTAAATCATAATAATTTTAAAATATATTGAAAACTAAAATGATGTTTTAAAAGACAAGAAAATATAGGAGTATAATATGTGTGAAATCTAATGTTAGGATATTATCAGCCGGCTGGACCGCTGATACAGCATCCACCAACTTTACCACCTATTAAGGGACCTCCTCCAGAACCAACGCCTACACCTCCACAGAACTCTGAAGGTTCAGATGATTTAGTTGCAACTTCTACAACTTCTGGAGGAACTAGCAGTACAGGTATATATTTATACCCTATTAATTATTTTATGTTACAATTTTAAATTTGATAATGTGTGTCAAAAAATAATTTCTAATAATTTAATACATTGAATATTTTTTGATCTATTAGTAATATTCGTTTAAGAGTATAATTAAAATTAATCAAATGTGCTCTAAGTGTATAAATTTACAAATTAACAAATTCGAAAAGTTAAGAATTCAAAAGGTCAGTTATAAT